GGTGCTTTCACTCTGATTTGGCCATAGGTGGGTTTAAAATCGAATTCTGAGCAAGAGTATAATTTTTACCTCGTTTGGCAGCCAAAAATTGCTCCGATGCGGCGGTGGCGGTCAGCTCCATGGCGGTTGGGCTGTCTTCTCCGGTGAGGGGCTTTGGCGACTAGGGTTTGGATTTGGGTGCAGATGAGATTATTTATAACCATCCGCTTTTGATCTGAGCCGTCCATCGCATTAAATCTGGACCGTCCGATCGCGATTAAATAGGAAATGAATCTGGGTCATTCATCACAATTCAATCTGGGCCGTCCGTGCGCGATGCAATCTGGGCCATCTGTGCGCGTTTTTGATCTGGGTCATCCATGTGCGCAGGAACGAATCTCAGCCGTTCGATCGCGCGCACGCGGATCGCCCACGTGGCTCCCTTTCGCGTGGCCCCCTGCGTCAGTGTCTCTGCCACGCAGCGCGTCCTGGTTGGCCGGAGTTGCTGATCGGGCAGCTGACATTGCGTAATTTTTCTAAATTACGTTTTGACATCCGATTTCTGATTTTTCTTTCAAAAATACTCCCAGAACCCAAATTTTCACTCTTTTTTTCTAAAATTATTTTCAATTAAATTCCTAAATAATTTTTTACCCCTTTTATTATTATTTTTTTATTAAAATAAATTAAACTAAATTAAATTCAATATATTATTACATAAATAATAATTATATTCATATAATAATTAAAATAATAAAAAATAAAATAAAAAGAAAGGGTTGGGGTGTTACAAGATGAGTATAAATATTTTACATCACACTAAACTCGAACTCTAACCGCCAGTCTCCCGTTGGAGAAGAAGAATCAGTCACCAGAGAAGGGAGTTGATTGCCACCCGCCACCGCACCGGAGCCACCTCCGACCCCTAAAAAAGGTAAAAATTCTTTTACCCGCTCGAAATTCGATTTCAAGCACCCCTGTAGCCATATCGGAGTAAAATAAACAGTGGATGAGTCGAAAATCATGGGTAAAGCCCGACGGAGCCGCCATAGAAAAAACCTGCAACCTCCTCCGATGAACGCCTTCCCGTTTTCTATTTCGTACGATTTTTCCACCGTTGTGTTCACTGTTTTTTTTTTCTACAGATGGACTGAAGAAAAAAGTCCAGCTATGAAGGTGAGCCGGCGGAGCTGCTGCACCCGGAAAATACCACCACCGGTAGGTTTTTGTTTTTTAAATTTTTAAGCCAATAGAGACCCCCTAACGTATTTTTTTCACAGGAATATGTATAAAGGCGGCCGAAACTGGCCAAAACCTGTCGAAAATGGCTAGGTCGAGGCAAACCACCGCCACGGGCGATGGTGTCGTTGTCGGAGCATGGCGGTGCCACCATACTGGAACCCTAAAATTGGCTAAAAAGGATTTTTAACACCAATTTTAGATTTTTGGAATATTTTTAAGTACATGAAACGTGTTTTAATCTCTGCAGAAAAATTCAGAAAACTTGAAGACAACCAGTAGATGCAGTAAAAAGTTCAGTATTCCAAACAACGATTTTGGTAAGAATCCCTCACCTTATTTTCTATTATAAAATTGAAGTTTAATAATCGATAATATGGTATTTTGTGTAATTTAGAAAATTTTGAGAATAATTACAAGTTAC